AAATACATAAATGTAATTGATAATTGTTCGGTTCCATGTAAGTGCTTGGTCTCCAGAACGGATTGGTATTCTGGAAGAGAATAGACATAGTGTAGATATCTTGTGCACGAAAAACCATGAAAACAAAAAAATACTCTTTTGTAGTGCATATATGTAAAAGGGTGAACTTGCTAGAAGTTGGACTCTTTAACAAAATCGATCAAACGCGTGACCTTGAGCCTGTGATGACCGCGTTTCACAACTAGGTGCGTAACCAAGGGTGCATCAGAATACTCCACAAAACGGAAAAGAATATACGGTTAAGAATAAAAAAAAATTGTGTAGAGTATGCGGATCAAGTACAGTTGTGTCAAATACCCTTTTCTTGTTTGATTTAGGTATGCATGATATATTGAAGCAATATATCGTCAATTCATCCAAGTAACGAATTGGTTTGCACCTCAGAAGTGTGTAAGTCCTATTACTCATTAGTATTATGAGTGAATAATTGGTGTAAGGAAATATTGAAGTCACTTCCTCCGTGGTCTGATGTGGCTTAACGGCTAAGCACGCGGTCTAGCATTCAGGAGGGCAGAGGTTCGAGTGCGTGTGGGGCCTGCCTTTTTGTTCACCAGACCCACCTTCAATACAATGTTTTTTGCCCGTAAGTCGCGCACATATGAGAGAAAAAATGACAAGAGGACAGATTGATATATCAAAGTGCCATATTGGAAAAGTATAAGTTCTTTGTTTACATGAATATTATTACTATAGAAAAAAAAAACTACAAGTTTAGTAAATTTCCATTTTACGTTATATTTAAACCAACGAATATATATATATATATCAGTTATTGACATAAAATGTCTTTTTTATAACGCTAATGTTAAGTTCCAGGACTTTGTATGGGCCACTAATAGTAATTGGTTTAACGTTAGCATAGTCGTGATATTCATATTGTCAGTTCAATGTTATGATTACTAAACAGTTCCCTTATAAGTTGTTTAAAACTAGGTATGTGGAATCAATGCGGCTGACATAGTAACCTTACAGTAACACACTGTACTATATCTTCACGGTTATTGATTCTTAAATGTCAGAAATTTAAAAAAATCTGAATATTGCCAATAAAGATGGGTTATACGATCACACTAAAAAGCATGCTGCAGGGAAACTGGTTAAGTCATTACGTAAGTTTCCTAAACATGAAAAAAAAATGAGAATTTTAATAAGTACTTGACCATGGTTTAATCCAAAATGTTTTGTCTAGAAAACTACTTATTAATAGTAGTATTAATCGTATCAAGCTACTAAACATATCCTCAACCGAAAACTTTTAGAAGTAGTTCATATGGTATATATGTATAGCCAGTCTACGTGAAAAATGTATATAAATATATAAGAAGTACAGCCAACATAGTTAATTAATCAGAAAAAGAAATTATAAAACTCGCCTGGGTTGCTTTTTGAATTCGTTGTATTTGCCAGTGTTAGTTGTATGAGTTTGATTAAAATCCTCAGCCATCGTTTCGGAATACCTAGCTTATGTGTCAAGTATTTTTCAAAAAATATTTAATATAACACGTATATATTAAAGGTAAAAGGTCTGGGGAGTTGTCGGTGAGGCGGAATGAGGAAAAAAAATTATTTTTAAGTAGATGCAGGGTGTGATTAGCTGCGTGGTTAGATTTTATCCTGCAGCCGAAACTGTCAACATCCTTGACTGACTAATTGGATGTGCCCAGCGAACCGTTTTAGTCATTTGTAAAGATTTATTATCTTTACATTTCGATTCCGTAATGGATTTGTCAGTTAAACGATCTAACAACACGTATGGTGGTTCATGATCTAGATAAGCCGGCTTTAGCCTATCAATACTTACTGTGTCGATGTTTCCATGTTTTTCTATCACGAAATATTTAGATTTTCTTAAGACGACTTTGAAAGGACCTTCAAATGGAGGACTGAGTGGTGCTTTTATTTTGTCACATCTTATCCAGACGTGCGTGCAATTGCTTAGGTCTTTAGGTATATATACGGCGCGCGATTGTTCACGAGTATTAATCGGCTTAATTTTAGACATGTGGTCCCGTAGTTGATCTACATAATTTCCTAAATTAAGTTTTTGACTGTTAGTATTAGGGTTAATAAATTCACCTGGTAGTCTCAGAGTTGTTCCGAAAACCAGTTCCGCAGCTGAACACTGTGCGTCAGTTTTGACACATGTTCGTATTCCCAACATAAATAACGGTAGGAATTCTGTCCACTGATTGGGGTTTGAGTGAGATATAAGGGCGGTTTTTAGCTGACGGTGAAAACGTTCTACCATCCCATTAGCCTGAGGATGATATGCAGTGCAGCGTATCCTATTGGAGCCTAGAAGTTTAGCCAAGTTATTAAATAGTTCGGATTCGAATTGCGCTCCTCTATCCGTCGTTATTGTTATGGGTGTACCAAAAATGGTTACCCAGTTCTGCATGAAGACTTTGGCTACTGTTTCCGCTGTGATGTCCGCTATCGGGATGGCTATAGGGAATCTGGTAAATCGATCTATGCATGTAAAAAGATAATTAAAACCGTTTGAACGTGGTAAAGGACCTACCAAGTCGATATGCACATGGGCAAAACGTGCATCTGGTTGCGAGAAAACACCTATGGGTGAATTTGTGTGACGATTAATCTTTGATTGTTGACATGCTGAACACTCTCTAACCCATTTGTTTGCATCCTTCTGTAAATTCGGCCATATATATCTGGCATTGATTAGTTTTGTTGAAGCTTTCGCTCCAGGATGAGACAAAGAATGAAAGTTATTATATATCAACTTTCGCATATTTTTGGGAACGAAAGGTCGCGGCATTGCCTTGGTCGTGTCACAATAAATTAGAATACCATCGATAGGTGATGGGAATTGTTTTAAATTAAGACTTGGATTGTTTGTTTTAAGTAGGTTTTGTAATTCTAGGTCCTGCTCTTGTTCGTGTCTTAACGTCTCGAAGTTTACTGTAGACTGCTGTAGCACGTTCATTTCTAGTCTGGATAAAGCATCTGCCGCCTGATTGTCCTGACCTTTGACATGTCGGATATCGCTTGTGAACTGTGATATATAGTCAAGGTGTCGGACTTCTCGAGGTGAGTATTTATCGGCTCTCGCTTTTAATGCATTCGTCAGTGGTTTGTGATCCGTAAAGACTATAAATTCCCTACCTTCTAACATGTGTCGGAAGTGTTTAATGGTCAGGTAGATTGCAAGAAGTTCTCGCCCGAAGGTAGAATACCTTGTTTCGGCTGGAGCGAGTCTTTTCGAGAAGAAAGCAATTGGTTTCCAGGCGTTTTTAACCAGTTGGTTAAGGGTACCTCCTACTGCTTTATCTGAAGCATCCACCATCAAAGCAAGTGGGGAAAGAGAATTCGGATATATCAACGTAGTTGCTTGAGCCAGTTTATCTTTAAGCTGTTTAATAGCTTCGATGGCGTCAGAAGACAGTTTGAATTCTTTTGGTTTTCCTTTAAGTGAATCTGTCAAAGGTTGCATTAATTGTGCACAACCTGGTATGAATTAGGCCTAGAAAACTCAGTTGTGTTAGTGAACTAGGTACGGGGTATTGTTTGATGGTATCCACTTCTTTTTTGATAGGTTTAATCTCTTCTGGGCTTATTGTGTGACCGAGAAATTCTAAAGTTTGAACACCGAAAACACACTTACTTTGATGTATGTTTATTCCATGTTCATCCAGTCTTTTCAACACTGCTTGTACATGCTGTTCGTGTGATTGCAAATCGGGGCTGGCAATTAACAAGTCGTCTATATACCCCTGCGCAAATGGCATATCTCGAAGTAGGTTATCTATGAATCTTTGAAATGTCTGTGCCGCATTTCTCAGGCCGAATGGCATGCGTACAAACTCGAATAAGCCAAAGGGTGTAGTAATAGCTGTCTTGGGAATATCTTCATCAGCCACCGGGATATTGTGATATGCCCTGACTAAGTCAATTTTAGTGAATATGTTCATACCCTGTAAACCGTTGGTGAAATCTTGGATATGAAGTATTGGGTACCTATCTGGTACAGTTTGACGGTTTAAGGCTCTGTAATCCCCGCACGGTCGCCAGGCACCTTCATTCTTCTTTGGGACCATATGCAAAGGGGATGCCCATTGACTATCAGAGGGACGGATAATACCCAATTGTAGCATATAATCAAACTCGGCCCTAGCGATTTTGAGCTTATCTGGTGCTAGTCTCCTAAGTTTTGCAAACACCGGTGCACCTTCGGTTTTGATAGTGTGACTCACTTTTAGTTTGTCTTTAGAAGGCTGTGGGTTTGGTTTAGTTAAGTTTGGAAATTCCGCAAGTATATCTTGGAATTTCGCTGTTGTTACTGGGGGAGTTTGAATCAAGTTAAGAGAGCTGATGTGACTTTCTTTGCCTTTCGTGTAATACGAAGTTTCTTTTAGTGTTAATCGCCGTTTTTTGGTGTCAACTAGAAATTCGTATCTCTCTAGAAAGTCCATCCCCAGTATTGCCAGATCTAAGTCGGCTACCGTGAAAACCCAAGGGAATTGCCTCCTGAACCCCAAATCTAGGGTTAAAGTTTTCTGCCCAAATGTCGCGATTTTAGTTTTATTTGCAGCTTGAAGTGTAATTGATGATGTTTCTCGACTAATCTCAGTTTTATTTTGAGGGATGATGCTAAGAGCAGCGCCAGTATCCACCAAGAAATTCAAGCCAGAGTTTCTGTCTCTAACATAAAACAAGCGACTGTTTAGGCGCCCCTCCTCAGTCGTCGCGACCTGGGGAGGGGTTACTCGTTTCCCGCTGTCTTAGAATTATGCTTAGGCCAGGCGCATGGTTGCATGCACTTGGTTGAGTTGACACCAAACTTCCAGTGGTACCAACAAAACTGACCAGATTGTCTGGACATTTGTGACTTGTTTTGTGACTTGGATCGTGGTCGTTGTGGTGACCTGCTCCTGTTTCTATGACCCATTTGCATTCTGGTGACAGCCTCAGTGAGACTCTTAACACTCGCAATGAGTCCTTCTATTACGGGGTCTTTTGCTGATTCTACTTTTTGTGTGTGATTTATTGTGCCTGATCCAGTTGGAGGACCTCTTTCCATTATTCTGTCGGCTATACGCGCTAAATGAGATAATGGGGTTTCAGGATCCTGTGCATCCAAACAGTGTTGGACGTAGCATAGGAGAGCTTGTATCCATCCTTGTTTTAGGACTGCTTCACCCACTGTGTTATCACCCACTAAGACTTGGAGGTGACGTAAAAACTGTGACGGCGACCGACCACCTAGTGTTTCACCTTGAAAAAGTCTTTGGATTCTTTGACTATCTGATAATGATAAACGGTTCATTATCTCTCGTCTTAAGATGGTGTATGGTTGTGGTGATGGTGGAATTAAAATCAAGTCACGGACTTCTTTGGCGACTGAAGGAGGAAGGATAGAACACAAGTCTCTATAGGGAATCCCTTCAGATTTGATATTGTGTCTCGTGAAATAATGCTCTAGTTGAGCAAACCACAACTCAGGATCACTACGATCAAATCCTGGAAGTCGGGATTTCGTAGTCATAACAGTGTCTATCTCCACTGGTGACAAATCCTCCAGATTATGGGTTTCTATTGAGTCTGACATGAGGTATGTGACAAATATAGCAATAAAGTTAGCACAAAAAGTGGTTACTATAACACGAATAACTTAAGATAATACGGAATAAACTAGTTATATACTCAAATTAGTTTACGGATAATCAGGTCTACTTTTACGATTAAGTAAAAAAAATGTTAATAACAGAAATGAGGTTAAATTTGTGTTCAAAAAGGGCTCACCAATTTCGTGCCTTAAAGTAACCCTCGTGCTATTGATAGAAGAAACCAGACAAGTAGTGAATAGGTTTTTATTTCGATCTTAGCGCGGTCACAGTGGAGCGTGGGGTTATCTGTTCAGACAAACAAAGGCTCTCAACATTCAATATAAGATAATAGGGAATATAACGCTTATACAAATCAAGGAAGTGAATGAATACTTGAACAATACTGTTTTGGCATATGCTTGGTTGTTTGGGGTCAACTCTCAACCAACCAACCTAAGCTGTTACACATCACACAAAATCTTGGTAAAATATGAGAACCATATATTGAATACGTTGCTTGCAAATTTAAATAATTTGTCCTTTACATTCTAAATGACTCTTCCGTTTCAAAATTCCTTCATATTTCCGCTTCTAAGTTCCTCAATCCGTTCTTCCTAGCCTTCTGTTGCCAGGGTTTCCACTTCCGATTGGTGTTACATACTACTTATATCTGTTGGCATAAGTAGCATATACCAAACTGCATCATGGGGCAGGCGCTACCTTGTGTTCCTGAAGTGGAACGGAAAAACTGAAGACAAAAGAACACAATGCACCAGGAATCGGAAGCAGACATCCATAGGATAAATAACAGCTGGAAAGGATCGCATATGACAGATTTGAATGGAGAATGGTGATGAGCAGCCTCTGGTCTTCTACGATGTGTATCAAGCGTAAGTAAAATGAGTAAGTGCTTTTAGTGTTAGCAAGAATAATAAGACGACTGCTATCAAGTGAAGAGACATTTGACTGGTTGGAGTAATTTAGAATCTATAGGACAAATGTCCAATGAAGGGAGCAGCTCCGTTCGTCAACAAAGCAGGTGAATATATGTATATGGCAAAGCAATAAATTGTCGAGGATGATGGGAATTAAGGTTTGATGGAACAAGCTGCTAATAATGGTAATGATGATGGGTATATTGCGAAACATAGTAGTGGTAGTACTGGTTACTGAGTAAGCAACCTTCCCTGATGACGTATGTACCTTAACATTATTTCTAGAGGAATACGCCAATCCATAAGTAAAGAGTTGATGATCGTGCTTCCGCTTGCAGCTGCTCACTGGGGAATTGCCAGATGGCAGTTATAAGTAGAACAGATATGTGGTAAGGAAAATGAGATGTTACCTAAGTGTATTCTTTTTGGCCCCCAATTTGCCCAGGGTTTAAATATGTGTGAACGGAGTGAAAAGTTTCACTGACAAGTCTCTACTTATAGTGGTAAGAGATCACTTAAACTTCTTGGTAGAAAGTCAGTCATTTCCTAGATTCTAATTCGGATAATATGCCCTTGGTGTCCAAGCTTCCTGTTAGCAGAAAATCTAGATCACGCCCCTTCAGGATGCTGAAGGGTGATGACAAGAATGAGACCAGACAAACTGTTTCTCCTTCAGAATCTAAAGGAACATACTATGACATTTCTGGAGAGTGGATTGTAGCTGTTATTGGTAATAGAGATTTTTCAGGATATTCGAAGTGTCTTTTTTGTCTAAAAATGTGTCTAGTTGATATTATTTATATGTACAGTTATTTGATGCGTTTTATATTTGATCTTAAGATATTCTAAAACAAATCTGTGACCTTAGTTACCTATAGTGTTATTCGTTTGGTCATTTTTATAATTAGCATGATTAGAACAATACATTTTTCTTCGGTTGGGTTTGAACTTACCTGTTGGAAAGGACGAGTAGCTAAAGTTTCACACGAAGCAATACGAAATTCAAACTACATTAGCCAGTAAGCTAGTGGTATTAAATTCTTTGGGAATATGTATATTAAGTGAATTTTGTAACGAAAAAATGAAGACTACGTTTTTTAATTTTTGTGTCACTTTATATGTAGTCACATTTATATTCAATAATTATAGTTTCTCTGTATCGTTTGTAAAACGAACATAATCGATTATCTGATTAGTATACACCCTACTGCTGTTTTTAAAATAAATGTAATGTCGGTCGTCTGTTCTGTTTTATTAGCCGTTATCTGTTTTTAACGATTATAATCGTATTTTGAGATACTTTTACGTCATTCTACATCACGTTGGTATTTTGACCAGGATTACCATTCAACATTATCGGATTTGTCTTTCGCGTCACGCCGTCAGTGTCACCCCGTGCAGACGGACTTTAGTCAATCAGCTGAACCCATTTGTGGTTGTTATCTCGGAAGGAGCTTACAAATAACATTTACTTCAGAACAATTGTTATCATTTTGTTATTTATTAAACCATTTCGTTTAAGTGTCATTTGTTACCGTTTTGCTTTATTAATAGACAGACACTTTGATCTGAATAACTGATAACTTTTAGTTTATTATTAATAACGTTGTGCACTATCACATGCGAAATATTTTGTCTTGAGATTAATCGCAATTTAGAGTTCTAGGTAGTACAAATGGATATATGCCGGAGAAAATAATGCAATTATAACAGTAACAAAACAAACCTTTGATTCTTTAGGTTCCCGGAGCAAAAACATCCAAATACTGAACCAAAGACAAAGAGAGACCAAAATGTTTGGAGGCAAAGATATACAGCAGTTTTTAATCAGTCAAATGTCTTCAGTTATCCTACAGCAGTTGCTATGCCACCCATCTTTAAAAAATCATGCGAATCATTATGCCCTCCACTGTTCAAACGTGCACATTGTCGAGATGCTAGATAATTCATCATTTAGAGTACAAATACTAGCAAGTAGATCCCATATTAGCATATGAGAACCACTTCATAACTAACACTTTCCAACGTTGAGTAAAATATTAGGTAGAGAAACCACATGGTCATATTACTATGAATAACCAAGTAAATGGAGCTTCTGGAATTATTATTAATAAGAAAAATATATGTTGTAATCTTTATGCGTTGCCACCAATAATTACCTTAAATCTACAAGGACAACTGGCAGCGGTAGAGGTCTCAATCGGGGGCTTAAATTCAATTCTAAAATCCCCGTTTCTAGAGACAGGATTGTAAAAATGTCAAGACGACACTAGATAAAATACCAGAGTAATGTGTAGGGTATAGATCACTTAATTTACACGCCTAAGTGATCACGATCAAAGCCCTATCCAGGTTCACACTCCCTGCAAGACGTAGTAAAAACGAAATACGAGAGAATGACATTCCAGACTTCCCGCTACGCTGATTACTGAAACAAAACGAAAGCACTGATTGTGTCGCATCCTCACCACTCATTGAAACACGCAACTAAGCATTTGAAAGCAACTCTTGTAGTAACTGGGTCTAATGCTATTGTGATACTGCGGCACCTAAGCATTACTACGGATTCATATTCGGTCATCCCTGTTCTTTGTTCTGATACGTATGCCTTTATTGCCAAAAACACACTGACTTGGCTAACAAGAGACTATGGAAGCTATAACCCGAGCTCATACTCCAAAGAAGTTACCGGCTGCTGCTATTGCATCCAGTATCCTCTAACAATAAAGAGCAGTGGGTATGCGTTAGAAAAGGGCACAATGATAGATTAGTTTCCAAAACGCTAAAAGTCGATGACAAAGACGCTAGACAAAACTATTTGATTTCATTTGGTGTTGCGGTTTCGAGGAGCATATAGCGACTCACGTGCAAATAGGTTTATTCTCATTTAACTCAGTTAAGCCCTTTTGCTAACTTATTTAGCGGACAAAGCCATCCGCACTATAACAATTTATTGTACCCTTATTATTATTTTGTGCTTGTATGAAATACGCATGCTTGAATATTGCTTACGGCCTACGCATTTATTCACTCTGCTAGTCTCACTACTAACCGCTTATTTGATTCGATTACTCATTAATTTCACATGCTATATATATGTCCATGTTATTTATATGGTTGACTCGGCTTTCTCGCTCGCTTGATTGTACTCGATTACTTACATTCGCTCAGTCGCTCGCTTGCCTGTTTACCATTTGACACAACTCTTAATGCTCGTTTAATGCCTCTGTAATTTTGGACATCTGCGTGTGTGGTCTCAAAATAAGCGTAATCAACGCTTCGTATTCGCCTTCTGAATAATATACCGTTGGGGTTAAATAGGACGGTTATCGAGACGAATTGTATACGAAGTTTAAGGGATATATCGAATACCGACGACCACAAGCAGCTTATTAGAAAGTAAGGCAGCTTTTCATGAAAGATAGTAGGACAAATACTGTGCAGTGCAGAGGAACGATAGCGATCCAGGTAAACTGTGCCACTTGCATAAAGCTCGAAATGTTACGAAAAACAAACCCCCTCCACTAGGAGCAAACTTAGGTTGAGTACAAATTGCGGAAGAAATCTAACTGATATCTCAGAGATCATCGGTCAAGCCATCTTCTTATGTCTAATTTAAACACGATAAAACTTGGGCTGCAAAGTATGTCGCTAGAAAATCAGCAGACATTGAACAGCCAGTCAGTTTGATGTTTCGCCGAGTCCCTGAGCTGATGAGTGGCAACCGGAACGAAGTCCGTAGACACTAAACACAACAGTTGCGTTGACTACCACGTAATAAAGGCCTCCCCACCATGATGATTAGCATATCAGACCATCTACTTCGGTACGTCTCATGGCCGTTAAGTCCTCGCATTTGATGGATGTAAGCTTCAGGAACCAAGGGTGCATACTTGAGGCCCCTGGGCCTGAAACATCTCGAGGAATTACTTCTCCAGTCACTCTAGTTGTTGTGAGAGCTGACCTAGATCGGTAAGACGACAGAAAGAAAAGCATACAAGCACAAACATTAATGTTGACTAACCTTAATGAACAACACGGGAAACAGGGCATAAGGACCACGGTCT